CTCAAGTGAGGATCTGAAGGCATCCTGTGAAGGCTGGTGTTGAACACCTCTTAGTTTTTAGTAATGAGTGATCTAAATCTGGAGGCTTAAAAAGTCAAAATTCATAGTTATTGGTGGTTCTGGAGTAGATTTTCTTACTGACAAAAGTAAAAAAATCCCCAAAGTCAACTGGGATGTACATTCTGTAATGGAGTTTGTGGTAACTTTATTTCCTTAATCTGGATCAACAGGTTTTCATTTCTTTCACTAGTACTGTAAACACCGTGTCAGTATTTTGAGCAGTCTGGTAAATGATTTATTAATACTGTAATGCTTATCTCTACCATAATTTCTGTAAGTTAGGCTATATTACCAGGAATTTATTGGATGGCATATAGCAAACTATGACTAAACAAGCCTTTTGGTATAACCCTATCTAATATTTCTCAGCTTTCAGGTAGTAAATGAGTTTGGTTTAATGGATTATTGTGGCTGTGAAGAGCCTTGAAATGTAATGCTTCACCTGACAGGGAGCTTGCCTGTATTTTGAAGAAGCTGCAGTTTTTCAGGGAATGAGCAGAAGTTACCCGGAGTCCAAAATGGGGCCAAGATCTCTTTTCCCACATGGGTCACTGGTTCAGGCATGGTTGTCACCTCACCTCCCAAAGTGGCCTGGATTTTCTTTTGGGAGGGAACTCGTCTCTTCCACAGGCTGAGTCCCAGCTTGGGTTCCTACCTTCATTACCTGGAAGGGAGACAGGGAGGTGTTGAGTGTGAGCATGCCATGGAGCCCTTGGTGGCCTGGGACACAAGCTGCCAGGCATTGCTGCTAGTCTCAGCCTTTCTCCTCAAAAATCCCAGGGCTGTGGGCCCCCTTCCCTGAAGAAAAAGCAGGCTTCTGCACAGGAGTCCATCTGTGCTTCTAACCCACAAAATGAGGAAGCACCTGCTGACTGGGTTGGACATTCTCAAAATGATCTAGTCTCTTTTCTGTATTAGTCGTAATAATTTGAACCTCACACCTTCTCCTTGTGTTGAGAGCATCAGTGTGTATTTGCCAGGTCACAGTGAAGTACTTGCAGGTGGAGGACGGCAGGTACTCACGGCTGTGTCACCACTGGGTCTTTCCAACCTCTCCACATTTCATAAATACAGTGATTCTCTTGCATGCTTGGAAATCATTCATTGTCCTCAGTGAATGCACGTGTTCAGATCTGGAACTTACGTGAAATCATCGTATGTTAATAGTTGTTGGGGAATATAAGAAAGCTAATGTGTTACACACTGATTCTAGCTTGTGTTTCCTGGCACTGCATCCCTGATTTGTGGAGCTGAATGTTTCTTTAAATGGCTTTTGCTTGATCACATCAAAAATCACTTAATCTCAGTGGGTGCATTGACAGCCCAGTTTAATTAAACAGTAGCTGTTTTCCACTTGATGAGCCCTGAGAATTCCTATTTTAGTTAGACTGTGAGTGAAATCATGGAGCTGCTTTATAGCTCTCAACGTGTGTTTCACTGGAATTTCCATAGTCAATGGCCTATGGCAGCCACAGCTTATGTAACACATCATACAGCTGAGCGGAGCCCTTGCATACTCTGGGTTTCTGTTCACAGTGTGGAATTCTGAATGTACCAGATGATACTCTGATTACATTTCTCCTGTGCTGTGTTCTAAGTGAGAAAACAAGATTGCATCTCCGTATGTAGTATCTCCAATTTTCACCCTGTGCTGTTCAAACTCCCCTGGGGAGGGGAGCGAGGAGACTTGGGGGGTGGAATTAAGGGGATCAGCAGGAGGTGGCTGGGCCGGGAGAGCTCCTTCCTGCCCGGTCCTTGAACTGTGGGGGCTGTGTTTTGGTGGATGAGAGGCTGGGCATACCCTGGCTACATGCACTGGGACCCAGAAACCAACCCTACCCCCAGCCCCCTTTGTCCCCTTAATTTGTCTCCCTAATTCACAATGCTGTGTTTTACTGCACTGGCACTTGGGCCTTTTTTTTTTTTTTTCTCCAGTAACTTAATATTCTCCTCCCCCAACTCCAGTGGGTATATACTCATCTGATCAGTCCTTTTTGGTTAATTTAAATTAAAACTGAAAACAAGAGGCTTGTGCCTGTTCATCTGGGTTAAAATAAAGTATATTATTCTTCTTGACTGGTGCCTGTGTTGCTGGTGTCATCCTCTAGAAGCGGCTCTGCAGCACAGCAAACACCAACCCAACATTTATCAGGTCATTTTGGAGAGGCTGATACATGAGGTTTTCCTAAAAGCCTGTGTGAAAAAAATATAAAAGAAGCATGCTCAGCTCCTGGCGGGAAAATAATCTGACTTTTGCCAGAGGTTGCCTAAAGCATCCTTACAATTACTTTATTTTTCTGCTTTCTAATGCACACCATACTCTCTGTGAATTTCTGTAACTTTTCCTCTGCCCACTATTTTGTTTGACTTTTTTCTGTTTTCCCCAGGCAATCCTGTCAGTCTTCAATTCAGTCATCTTGGTCTCACAGTATAGTGTAGTTTCCAAGCTTTTAATATAAAGATTAACCCCTCAATATTGGTGTATCCTTAGTAGCAGCCTTGCCTTTATTTTGTCTTTAAACTGAGTTGATATTTATTGAAAAGGGTTTATAAGCTTTTAAAATTTTAAACATGAAGAGGGAAAGATCAGTGGGTAAATAAAGTCTGTAATTCTACATCCAGAACAGATTCTCACATATTGACTGGTTTTTTCAATGTGCAGTACTCTGAAAGTAGCTGATGAACAGATCCATCTGCCTCAGTGAAATATAAGTGTATTGATCTGCCTAAGTGAAATATGCTGGGATTGCTGAAGTGCGTATCTGGCTTTGACCAGGAGATGGATGGACCATTCCAAATCTGGTCGTCTTCTTCCCAAGATCAGGCCAGGCGTGCAGACACAAAAAAGCAGGCCAAGGGAATAAGGGAAGCAAAACAAACCAAGCGCGCGGTAATATTACTATTTCTGTAAGTGAAGCAGATGCTTCAAAGACAACGTCTGCTGGTCCACTGTTGAAAGTGAAACAAAATAACCTTTGTTAGGTTCCATATTCCACGATGTGTTGTACTCCTTATGCTGCAGCAAGCAAATCCAAAATTTTAGGAGGAACAGTTCATGCTGGTAAAATAGGGAATTGAGGTGGGGACTGTGGAGTTGCAGTGCATTCCTGGGAAGGGGTTGGTTGGAGAACTGCATTAGGAATTGCTGTTGCTTGTGTGATTGCTGGACAGCCACAAGGACGATGCTGAGGTGTTGTCCTAATACTGCAAAATGCCTTTTATGTGTTTGGAAGTAATTTTTAAATAAATGATGGTGTTTAAGGAGATGAGAAGTCGATTTCATTTGGAGCTCAGGATTTGTGTTCAGCACAGGATGTCCTGCTTGTTCAGAGGGTGTGCTGGGCTTATTCTCTCTCCTTGCATGAGGGTTTAAGGTGATTTTGTAATCTGTGGACATCACTGACCTCTCTGAAGGACTGATAGGTAATCTTGGTTCTATTTTGAAATACTCATCGTGACATGGTTTTGTTTGGAGGGAAGAGGGTGCGGATTGAAATTCAGTTTGCTGTTGGTGAGTGGTGGTTGCTGAGGGTATGTTTGAGAGTTGAGAACAAGATGTGGAATGCCCTCACCTTGGCTAAAAGGGAAGGGTAAGTATAAACTTGCCACGACCAAAACATGCAACTAGCTTTGCAGAAGTGACACATGGTTGGGAAAACTTGGTTAGTGGTGGGAGGATTTTGATGGTTTGGATTTTTTCCAAATTTTACATATATGTAGGTACTGTAATGGTTGAAGATGTAGGTGAATGGGCCTTGTATGAGGACTGCTGTGGGGTCTGTGATCTGTTTGAGGTGGTCTCCTCGGCAACTTTGAGCTCATAGGCTTCAAAGGCTCCTGTCAGAAATGCTTCTGGGGCAGGTTTAGGCGTTTCATAACCTGTTGGTGATGTAATTTTACAGGAGCAGTTGTCTGTTCCAGCCTTTTTCCCTGCTGTTGTGCTACACCAGCATCCATCTGCTGCTGCCCATCTCCTTCTCTAGGTTTGGAGACAAAGGTTGAGCTTTTCCCCTAAAGCCCTGAGTGTTCTGCTGTAGTGCATAACTTAAATTTACCAAGGTCACTGAACCCTATTTACTGTGTTTTCTGGGAGGCTGACAGGGTACAAAAGATTGGTTTGTACCCTCCTGTCTGAAGGATGAGACAGTAATACAAGAGCTCAGTTATTTGTGTGCTGAAGGGGCCATGGTTCTCCAGTGATGTGACAGATTCACTAATGATACCTGACAGAAGTATTGTAAAGGAGTAACTGTAAAAAAACCCAACTCCCTTCTATTACACAATGTTTTTAAGAAGGAAATATTTTCTTTTTATAATTTGAAGAATGCAAGTTCCCATGTGACAAAATATTGAACTCAGGTGACTGGTGAGTAGGTGTAAATTGAATGGAAACTACTTCAAAATACAGTTAAATAGTTTCTTGTCTGTAGAGACTTTGAATTTTGGTAATAGGTTTTGTATTTTAATACTTTATATTGATTTTAAATCAATTCCAGACTATTGTCAATGCCTTGTTCGGGAGATGAGGGGGAATGGTTGTTAGTCAGCTCTGCTTAAAACCACTGTGCCAGAAGAAATTCTTCCCTGTGACGGTCGTGAGGCCCTGGCACAGGGTGCCCAGAGAAGCTGCCCCATCTCTGGCAGCATTCAAGGCCAGGTTGGATCGGGCTTGGAGCAATCTGGGATAGTGGAAGGTGTCCCTGCCCATGGCAAGGGGTGAAACAAGATGAGCTTTAAGGTTCCTTTCTGACAAAAACCATTCTGAGATTCTGTGATTTGATAGCACAAAATGATATTTTCCATCATGGTTGTTGTATTTAAAACAACGCAACTCTTCCAGCTGCGTGCTTTTTCTGAAACTACTATAGCAGTAAAACACAGTTCTTATTGTGAGATCCTGCTTTACAGATTATTCTAATTTAATCTTTTTTCTTTCTAAGGAAAAGTCATCAACAAGGACTTGCGCCACTACCTAAGCCTTCAGTTCCAGAAGGGCTCGATAGACCACAAACTTCAGCAAGTGATCAGAGACAATCTCTATTTGAGAACCATCCCTTGTAAGTATGTAAAGATCAGCCTCATTTCATCTGTTCCTGCTAACTTCCACATAATTTATGAGTTTGAAATACCTTCTCTCTTAATCTGATTTAGATTTTACCTTGTAGTGGAGACTTCTGGCTTTGCTACAGTAGCTTCACATCTGAAGCTGTCATGAGTTGGTGCAGCCAGTATGGACTGAAAACCAGCAAAAACTTGAGAATTCAAAGTTCAGATTGTTTCAGTAATATCTGTGTGTGGCTCTTCACAAATTTGTCAGTAGTTGTTAGAATGACCCAGCCACCACAAGAAATAAATCTTTCTCAGCATGATCAAGCAGTGCCAAAACATCCTGAATTTTGTCAATGTGTTGTGGTTTTTTTCTTCACAAAGAGCAAACTGAGACCTTAAGTGTCAAGTGCATTTGGCAGAGCAGGGCAGCTGGGAGGAGGGGTTGGGTGCAGAAGGGGTGACAGTGGCAGAACGTACAGGCAGACTGTTTGCTCATCCTGAGAAGACTGATTATAAAAAGGCTCATCATTGACTGTTTAAATATTCATTGCACTAAAAACTTTGTCAAGTAAAGTTTTTGTATCTACAGGAATTCTACTCTCTTCTCTCTGAGCACACCTGAGAGTTAGCGCCTTTCTTAAACTGCATTTCATTATTACTAGCTTTTATTTACTAGCTCTTATTTACTAGCTCTTGTTCATGCTGCTGCCTGAAAAAAATGATACATGCTTTTAAAATGCTATTTGGTTGTAGGCAGTAATGAATTGTAATGAATCAGTGAAGTTCTTTCAGGAGAGCTTTAATTAAGCTGTTATAACTATGGGAGGCCTGTTTTTATAGACAAACACTTTGAGAACCTCTGCATTAACGCAGCAATTTACTGATAAAGTTTACCTACAGCCAGGGGTTGGAGTGTGGCTGAATTACACTCTGAATTGTAGGTTAAAAAATAAATTCTGTGCTGAGTTACGGATTTGGTGGCCCAAAAATCAAATGTGCTTAGTCATGATAACCTCATTGCAAATTAGAGAGCTGGTGCTGGTGGAAATAGGGAAAGATGCAGCACCCTTACAGCTGGGTTAAAATAAAATAACCCAGACTGGGATTGCGTGTCGTCAGCTGCCACAAAAGTTGTTGTTGGTTCACTGACTATGAGAAAGAATTCTCTATTAATTGCCACCTCACCGAGCTGCTTCCCTCCTCCTCCCCCAATACCCGAAGTGTTGTTCCTATGTAATTTACCGTCTCAGTTTTTATACATTATTGTTCACTTGCTTACCAAGAGTTGTTTTAACTCTTACTGAAGTGACATAATCTTTGTATAAAGATTTGAAAATACATTGTTTTTACTGAACTGTACAGCAGGCAGCATTTGGTAACAAGCAGCATTTAAGTGTCTTAAAAGAGCGTTTTCTCTGTCTTTGCAGGCACTACAAGGGCTCCTAGAGATGGGGAGGTCCCTGGGGTAGACTATAATTTCATTCCTGTTGAGCAGTTTAAAGCGTTGGAAGAAAGTGGAGCCTTACTAGAAAGTGGAACATATGATGGTATGTCAGTGATGTTTAATGGAATGGGAATAAGGACCCAGTACTTGTGTTCAGGTGTAGCTCCTTGTGGTACCAGCTTTCCTGCTCACTTGATGGTCGTGACAGTAGTAGAGAGACAATAGTTAGTCTGGTTTTGGGTTACTGTGAAGAGGAGGAGCAATCCTGTTTTAAAGCTTTCTAATAATCTGCAAATTGTCCTTTCAACTGCTCTTAATCCCACCAGATTATTTTCACCATTGCATTTTTGGGAAGCATTTTGAAAAGGTTTGTCTGTGCTTGGTACAAATTTAAGAGAATTTAGTCAATTTTGTGTACACCTCAAGAGAATGGAGCCATGTTCTCCTCTCAGGTGTGCATCAAAAGGACAAAAGGCAAGAGAAATTCTGACCCAGCAGAGAAACAAAAGCATTTTTCAATGAAAAGTTGAACAGCACTAGACCAGATTGTAGGAAAGGTGAGTTTGTTAAATGTGGTGAAGAAAAACATTGTAATGGAGACGGTGATCAATCCCGTGAAAGGCTCTGTGCCTCTGGTTTTCCTCATCCCACACTATCTTATATTGTCCAGTCTGTGGAAATCTAGTAAACAAATTTAGGCGACATTAGTAGTTTTTTTTCTTTATTCCTGAGCTGCACTTTATCTGACTGTCCCCTCTCTGAGCCTTGCCCTTGCTTGATATTTGCAGAAGGGTTTTCTTTCTATATGTATTTCCATGGTCAAAACCATATCCAGGCACTAAAAGTTACTCCAGCAGGAATTCTGGGAAGCTTCCTTGCTTTGTGCTCAATTCCCTAATAAAAATCATATGAGCAGTCAGGAGAGAGGTCAATTGCTGAAATTCTTTTTCCAGAAAACAGCAGATGAGTCCTTTGTACTATATTGAAGGAAAAATCTGTTCTTTTTTCTGAAGTAAAAATATCAGCATGTTGATATGAAGCCATATCAACATCTTTGTTTTGCAAGTGTATTGTCAGTAGAAAATTGCAAGTGTTAAAAATCAATTACTCGTTAACTGGTTTTATGGAAATGAATACCTTGTGTCTGCATAAAAGTAATTTGCTTTTTGACTTCAGTATTTCTGTTGCTCCAAATCCATCTTTTTCTTTATAAACTTGTAGCAGGATAAAAGTTTTCAGATAATCTCTTGGTTTTTGACAATTAGTGCTGCATTAGCAAGAAGTCAGTGTATGAATAAATAGGTTTTGACTGTTGATTTAGTTTTGGTAGTGCTTATGTCTTCTTTGAGGCTTTAAAATGTCACCAAAATACATTTGCATGGGCACTAAACTGGTAACAGCCACTGCTAGCGCCTTCAGCAGTGCTGAAGTATCCTGAAGTATTAGTGCTTCAGTGCTCCTGATTTCTGTCTCATTTTCAGGTAATTTTTATGGTACTCCCAAGCCTCCAGCAGAGCCCAGCCCCTTTCAGCCTGATCCAGTGGATCAAGTTCTTTTTGACAATGATTTTGATACTGAATCACAGAGGAAAAGAACCACATCCGTCAGCAAAATGCAAAGGATGGAAAGTTCTCTCCCTGAAGAGGAGGAAGAGGAAGAAAAGGAAGCAGTTAATGGCAGCGGAGGGATAGGTTGGTTGACAAGGGGAGAAATTCCCTGGAGTATTGTGTGAATGGACATGGACTATACAAAAAACATTTGTGCTTCCTTAGTTTAGGTGAAGTATGAAGGCAGTTTCTGTTCAGACTGGTGCTTCTATTTGATTTTGAGATGACCTTTTAAAAAGAACCAGCTGTTCTCCCAGCCAGATGTGCAGTTGCATCATAAAATGCACTGCTTGGTCAAGAACATGTGGTGCTGGATATGGGCCAGGGCCAGTTACACGAGCAGGAAGGAAAAATTTGTCCACTCTTGAAATAACAGAGTCCTTCACAGCGTAGAATTCATACCCTGCAAATGTTACTGTTGAATTTTGAGGCAATCACTGAATTTGTACACAGGAGATTTTAAGGAACTGATTGATTAAGGGGCAACATTGGCTCACACTGTAAAATTTTTGGATGATTTTGCCTAGGGGAACTATCACACAACCTGAAATCACCCAAGGCGGGGGGGAGCTTGTAGTGAGAAACAAAGCCAAGCATGTTGAGACTGGAGCAGTGTCCATCAGGACCTTTCTGGGATTGGCAAGGTGCCCTTTTCCTTTTGCTGTCATGGTTACTCATCTGGAGGGGGGCAAATTGATGGTGGAGAGGAACTGTCACATTGCATTTGCAGTTGATCCTGTGTGTGACTGTTTAGGACAGAGTTACACTGACCAGACCTGACCTAGTCTTGTCATCTTCAGGGCTGGCAACACCACAGAGGGGCCAATGGTCAGGCTGGTGGTTGGGTGAAGGTCGTGGACATAGTCATGTCACAGCAGGTATCAAGCATAACCTCAGTTCTGAAGGGTAGAGGCTTCTATTTAAAGTTTCCTGCCTGAATTTTTGGGATCTTCTTTCTAGTTGTGGCTTGTAGCAAGGTGTTGTTTATTTTACTGGCAGTTTGGGTCTTCTCTACATTTCCTTCTGATTCTTTAAAGAATATTAGTAGGATTTTTTTGATTGTTTTATGGCATTACAAACACTGTTCTCTCTGTAGAAATGGCAACAGAGCATAGTCAACTTGGATTTCTGCCAGTGTCGATTTTTCAGAGTAGGCTCAAGCACAGAATACAAGGTTAATTCTGTTTGGCAGGGGAAGAGCAGAGTTCAGTCTTTTCATGTCAGCTTTTCGAAGTTCACATCTGAAAAAAAAAAAATGCACATCACATAGAGAGATGTGTTTGACATCCACTCGTAGCCAGAGTAAGAGGGTGGTTCTTTGTGAGAAACAACATAAGCATCTGACAAACACTTTCCCTGAACAACTACAGAAAACAAAGAAAAACATTCAGATTCTCCTGACTGGATGAAACCTGTTCCCAGCTACAACCAGACAAGCAGCAACATGGACTTCAGAAATTATTTGTCAAGGGATGAGACCCTGGAACCACTACCCAAGAACTGGGAAATGGCCTACACGGATGCTGGCATGATCTACTTCATTGAGTGAGTAACTCAGCTCCTTGGAGGAGACAAGTGCTGGTGGCTGCAGTCTGGAAAGCTTGCTCTTTCACCTCTCTTCTTCTTGTGCTGCTTCTATTTCTTTATGAAATTTACTATTTTCCTACTGTTACACTCCTTACTCATCGTCCTCAATGTTGCACGCTCGGTAAAATTCCCATTGTGCAGGAAGACCATATGGTTCCACCTGCAAAGTCAGTTTGTTTGTTCTAAGTTTTGTATCTCACAAATACAAAGCTGGCTGAGTATTGCTAAGTGACACGTGACATGGAAACTTGCTGTTTAGCTTCTCTGCTTGTGTTCCTTGGCTGGGAATGGATGTTTCAAAATACAAATAGCCCAAATGAAAGCCCAGGATAGGAAAGTAGCTCATGTGTGCACATGTAAAACTGCCTCATTTATGAGTTCTAAGGCAAAAATGAAACAGAAACCTTCCTGAGAGTTTAGCATATGAGGAGGCTAAACATTTTTTTTTTCCTATCAGGTAGAAACAGCTGCTGTTCCCATATGAGCTTTTGGGGGGCTGGGGGGAGGATCTGTGCCTCCAACACTTCCTGTGTGCCCTGGAGAGTCTCCAGTGTGCTGATGCCTTTTCTTTGTAGCATTTTGTGACGTGACTGAGGCACAAATAAAGGTTGTATTATCTAAAGTCTACATTTTCCTACAATAGTAAATACTTGAAGGAAAGTTTCTTCAGTGTGAGGGAGTTCTCTTACTGGCATGTGTTCTGCTCCACAGTCACAACACCAAGACAACGACATGGCTTGATCCCCGACTCTGTAAGAAGGCCAAAGCTCCTGAAGATTGTGAAGATGGAGGTGAGATGTTCAGAATGCATTTGCCACCTGTCACTGATAAATGTATGAGTTTATTCCAGCTGGATACAGTCCATTACTTCCGTGGAAGAAGCTTCTCCCCGGTAGATGTGACTCTGGAGCTGGCTGAGTGTTGAGTGTCCCCTGTAATTTGGTGGCAATAGGAATTTACATAAGACTGGGAAAGTCCATGGTGTATTTTCCCTGGAGTAGTAGAATCTGGCCAAACAAAATGTTTATCTACATTCCTGAGCAGAATATGAGATGTTTTGTTCCAGTGTCATTTTTAAGGAGAAAGCTGCATGTGAGTGATGTTCTCACTGGAAACTGTTGTATAGGTGGAGTATGGCAGAAGGTCCATAAGTAACAGAATATAGGAATAACAAAGAAGGTATGGCAAAATACATATTTCTGATGATAACGATTGCATTTGACATAGTATTTGAATGCAGAAGCTAAGGGAACAATCTGACTGATTGATTTAAATTCCTTCAAGACTTCCAGGTCAGTAGCCTCCAGGCAATTAGGCAATTTCTGCAACCATTTCCTACACAGGTGGGCAATTTAGTCTGCTAGGAAAGAGCATCAGGTAGCTCTGTCTTCAGCAAATGCTTGACATGTTCCAAAAGCTGAAGCAGGCTCAGAATGACCTGTCATCCTCCAAAATTGCCCAGCCTAACAGCCATGTATCCATAATGAAGCCAGCTGGAGCAGCTGCATTCTGCTGCTTATTAAACGTACATGCAGCTCTTTAAACAGAGATTCAGGATATCCAAATGAACAATACTTAAATTAATAGACCCATTGGGTCTTTAGTCAGACCCTGTGGACCAATACTGGTATTAGTAATTGGTAATATACTGTCATATGCCAAGGAAATTCCTGTTATTGTCAAACTTAGGGCAGCCTCAAACAAGATTGCAGGGCAAATTTTTCCTTAAAATGTCTGGCTGACTATATTCATTATTCTAATATTTAAATTTCCATGGTCAAGATAACTAGAACAATAAACTTGATAAGCTGACCTCTGTGGTAACTGCTTATTACCTTCAGTCAGTCATGAGCTGCTGGCACCGTCTTACCAGATGCTAAATTTGCCATAAAAAGGAGCCTTTTGCATGTAATTTTCAGTACAAACAGGTCTTTAAGTTTATTTATCTTTAAAGTTGCGGGATTTCATTGAATACAAGGCTCATCATTTAGTGCAAGAAGGAGTAAAAGTTGCAGGGCTTCAGATTCCCTGGAACAGGTTTTTACCTTTCATCAGGGAAGAAAATGGGACCTGAATTTTCCTCGTATTTTTCATGAGCCTAGGTCTTCTTTAATGAAAACTCTGATATTTGTGGATAGTTTTCCCCTGTAATGGAGAATTCGGTCTTTCTGATTGCAGAACTTCCTTATGGATGGGAGAAAATAGAAGACCCTCAATATGGGACATATTACGTTGAGTAAGTGCTAATTATTGATTTGGCATACATAAAAATTGAGTACGAAACTCTGAAGTCCTTGATCCCCAGTAAGCAGAGATTGTAATGCAGTGAAAGGCCAGGTTGGACAGGGCTAGGAGCAATATGGTCTGGTATCTATACTTGTAGCAGGGGGTGGAACTGCTGGATGGGCTTTAAGGTTCCTTCCAGTCCAAAACATTCTGTGATTCTGTGAAACTATTAAATATATCCAGGAAAAACAGTTCTTGGGTTGCAAACTCATGGCACAAACTTCTGGTGGCACTGGCATGAGGGAAAATCCACAGTGTGACCTTAAAGACTTAAGGACTGTTTTTCATTTGGGGAAAGAAAGCAAGTTGCAACCAAAATAATTTATAGATGGAAATGAGCTGATGTCATTTTTCTTAGCTTAGCAAAAACAGAGTCACTTGATTTAAGAGTGGCACCTGATAACTTTAAAAGAGTAAAAATAACTTGTAGATCATTGCTGTTTTCAAAAAGCCAAGTCAATAACCACTAAACTGCTGCAGGAGCTCTTTTGAATCTCCTTCAGGCCAGAGGAAATTAAATCTCTCCTTAACCATGGAGAAGAAAAATGGTAGAGGTGAAAATGTAGCTTCAGAGAACAAGCAAACATTTTTCACTTAGCAAAGCCAAGGTATTCGAATTATGCTCAAATTTGTTGGTTTTCCCCTCCTATGCTGTACTTCTCTATCATCTGCTAGGGAAAAGGTGATGCCTGAGTTTGTAAATAGTATAGGTCAATGGGTCAAGAGAAAAAGCAGGTTTGCTCGGATCTAAACTATTACATCTCTGCCTAGCGATTAAAGGAAGTAAAATTTTATTTGCCTCAAAGTAAGTAAACCGCTGGAAGAATGAGCATATTTTCAGTATTAGTTATGAGAGGTTTTTTGTTCATTTCTCCAGAGCATTCATCTGACATAATAAAAAATAGTGTTTGTAGATGTGGTTTTTTTGGGGTTGTCTTTTTTGGGAAGGAGTCAGAATGTTTTCTGTTGAAATCCTGACCTACCTTTTGTATGCCTGCAGTCATATTAACCAGAAAACTCAGTTTGAAAATCCAGTATTGGAAGCCAAAAGGAAAAAACAGCTAGGACAGACTGATGCTGGCCCTTCCAAATCAGGTATCACTGAATATTGTGTTCTTTGTCACATATATCTTTATCTGCAAGTATGCTTTATAAAAACCCAATTCTGGAATTCATGAAGGCATCAGCCTTGTCTTTTCACTAGCCATTACAGTGTTACCCTCCAAGATCTTTTGGGTTTTTTGAAGAATTTTTTCATGTTAAAATTGAACCAACACACTAAGACTGCTTCTAAATCATTTTGGTTGTTCTGAAGCCGGTTGTCATAAACAGCTTTGGAATATATGGAGGGTTAGAAGAGCCATCTGGAAGTGCAGGTAAAGCCACACCTGGAGTGTTGATGCTTTTGATCTACTTTAAGCTTGGTATTCAAGGATAAAAATTGGGAATTTGAGGTGGGAGGTTTGCATACAGCTCTGTTGCAATCTGTCCAGAAAAACTCTTTTCCATGCCCTGAATTCAGCTGGAAAATGAGTGTAGCACTTCCCTGTCTGTTTATCCTTTAAAACTGCTTCAGAAGCTGATCAACAATAAACAAATCATTAACCTTTGTGACACCTTAAAAATAAACAAAAAACTTAGCAGAATTAACCCTGGCTTACTGCCCTCCTGTCTCTGTATTCCATAATTCCAAAGAACCGGGGAGGTCTCTCTTCACTCGAGATCCATCCCAGCTTACTGGAGCACTCATAAGGACATCCCTGAAGAAAAGTACTATGGGATTTGGCTTCACAATCATCGGAGGGGACAGGCCTGACGAGTTTCTTCAGGTGAAGAATGTGTTAAAAGATGGACCCGCTGCGCAAGATGGAAGAATTGCTCCAGGTCAAGTATTATTTCTGTAAACTTCCATTTCCTGGGGTACTTTGGGGAACACAGCTTGAGGCACAGGAGGTTGGAGGACTCCATACACATCCTCACTAAATTAAATATTTTCATATTTGTGAAAGATCTTTGCAGAGCAGTGGCTGAAAAGGAAAAGAAGCAGCATTCTAGATAAAAATTGACTTTAAGGGCACTTCTGAAGATTTCAGTAGTTCTCCTTTAGCAAAGACACTTATCTTCATGTTTATTCATAGAATGGTTTCTCTCTCTGTAAGTGAAGTAAAAATAATGTGTTTGAGTCCTGGTCTGTTTTGCCTTGTTGCTGCCAGAAACCATGACACCGATTATTAAAACTGCAAAAAGCCCACAGCAGGAGTGAGGAAACAAAATTGTGTGAGCTGAACAAGTGAGGAGAGAAGAGGGATGAGCAACCCATGAGGACTTATGCATTTTTTCATGGTTATTACATGTGTAATTAGGTTACCTGTAACCTTACCATAACCTCTGGTTTGCATATTAGAAAAGGTGAAATGCTTCTTTACCTATAACATAAACACTTACTCTTGAGCAAATGAGTAAAAGAATTCATACTTTGAAAGATAAATACTATTAACTTGCAAAATGGAACAATTTCCTGTTTTGTTGCTGATGTGTTGTTTGAACTTGTTTGTATGTGGTTCATTTTCCACCTCTGCAAAAAAGTAAACAATCCTGCAGAAATGTTGGAATGGAAAAGATGTGCAGCTATTCTGATTGTAGTTCATGGAATAAGGGAGATCCTGTTTTACTGATGCCTGGGCATTAAAGGGATAGGACAGTTTGCAGGACATATTGTACCTCACATGCAAAGTTTCACATCAAAATTATGAAAACGCGAACCAAGGTTTTGGGATCTGAAGCCCACATAAGTTCATTTTGAAAATGTATTCTTAGCCACGTGTGGCAGCAGTGTAAGAGTGTGGAGCATGTGTGTGTGCACGATCCTAGCTTAAGTTCAGCCAGTCCTAAAATAAACACGGGGCCAAAAAAATCCGATTTATTCTGCATTGGGTTTAGGATGCTCTGCAATATGAATTAAAGTAGAAGACATCTGCTTGCTGTAGTGTGCGTGCTCTGCTTCATCTCCCGTGGCTGTACAGTATCATTTTTTAAATCTGCTGCAGATTAAACTTTATATATTTAGCGCACTGTGTCCTGAGATGAAATAGAATAAATGCAAAGAGGAAATCCTTTATGCTTTTTGGCAATATTAGCCATGAGGTAATATCCCAGACACTAGTTATTCATTCGAAGACAGCACTGTGATTTCTTCAAGGTAGGCTTTTGTTGAAGGTTTCGCTTCTGTTTTTGACACGTCAAAATTTCTTTTGTAACAGGTGACGTCATCGTGGACATAAATGGAAGCTGTGTCCTTGGCCATACCCATGCAGATGTTGTCCAGATGTTTCAGCTCATTCCCATAAATCAGTATGTGAACATGACTTTGTGTCGTGGGTACCCTCTTCCTGATGACAATGAAGACCCCGTGGTGGATATCGTGACAGCCACGCCTGTCATTAGTGGTCCGCCGGTGGCCAAGGGAGATGCTTCCATGTCCAGCCAAGATTTAGTAGCAGCAACAGTTGTGTTGGACCAGAATGGGAAAGTGTTGGTCAACGGTCGCCTCAACGGCCCTTCTGTGGATTCAGGAGAGCAAAGGGTCTCCTTTGCCTCCTCAGGAGGCTCTCAGCCAGAGCTGGTCACCATCCCTCTGATCAAAGGGCCTAAAGGCTTTGGGTTTGCCATTGCAGACAGTCCCACAGGCCAGAAGGTGAAGATGATTTTGGACAGCCAGTGGTGCCAAGGCCTACAGAAAGGGGATGTCATCAAGGAGATTTGCCATCAGAATGTGCAGAGCTTGACCCACTTGCAGGTGGTGGAGGTGCTCAAGCAGTTTCCAGTCGGAGCAGAGGTGCCCCTGCTTATCTTAAGAGGAGGTACAGACAAAATTGCAGTTGTCATATTGGTTATAAGTTTTTAAAAGTCCTATTTTAGTGTGATATCTAAATTGTGTCCAGTCTTGACAGCTAAGCAGCAGTTCATTCCATCTCTGAACGATTATGTTCTAAGTTTGATTTATACCCCTCACTATTTAGGGTGAGAGCATGTTGCTGGGATTTTGTTTGAAGATTTAGTTAGGTTTTTCTTTGGGTCTTTTTCCCTCAACAATTATATGGTGATATGTTTATGCACTGTCTCGTCCAAGTCTCTGGGGAGTGCTAAAGCAAACACGTGGTCTCCAGTATAATGCAAAGCATAAGATGGACTGAGTTTTGTGAGGTTCTCCAAATATATTCTAGTAACTGTGTCTGTAAAGAACAGGGGATTGCAGGAGATGGGAAGAAGCATTAGCGAAGAGGTGGGGCTGATCACTGGGAATAGCAGAAAAAATTCTGATTTTTTCCATTGCATATTCATACTCCTTCCTTGATTGTCAGTCACAGACCAGAATGCATCTTCTCCCCAGAAACTGTAGCAGATAGTGTCCCTCTTTCAGAGGAAGCTGAATCTGAATGAATTATGAGGCAGCTCGTGGCCGTTCAGTGTCCCTTCAGGCTTTATTGTAACCCTAACTTCAGCCACTGGTATTTGCAAAAATCTCTGGATCTTTTTCTCTATAAATACTACTAGTCCTTAATCAGCTAAGGAAGTAATTAGATTTATGTGTGACAAGTGAAATTCCCTCAGACAAATTCATAAGTCTCCTTATCCCATGAACTGAGGGGTGACTTGGCTGACCAGCTTCCAGCAGAAAGAGAAATAGATATTTTTCATTGTTGTACAGCTTTCTGTTCTAATTGAGACTTCTCTAAAGTGATGGTTTTGGTCACTTTGCCATTTAATAGCACAGTGAATCAGCTGCTATTATTTTCACCCCAGGGGCAGCTGATTATATTGCTGAAATGTTGTTGAAACTTTTTGTAACCTGCTATTAAAGTTACTTTCTATTTTCTTCAGGTCCACCCTCCCCTACTAAAGCTGCCAAAGGAGTGAGTATTTGTGATGTATGTAACTTGTTTTTGACCTGCTTTGTAATCTCATTTCCTCTGGATTTTAGTCCCTGTGATAACCTGCAAGATGGTTTATCAAAACCACATCTGCTTGGTAGCCAAAAATTCTTTGTCTAAGTTAGAGTACCCATTAAAAGGGAAACAAAATACAGCATCTATTTTTTTCCTTCCTAAAGGAAGTTTATGATCCTTTGATTCTTCTCAGTCCTCGCATAGAATTAATGGACTGGTTACTGCTCCCTTTTGGAAATGCTTATCTTTGGATCCATATTTTCAGCAAGTCTCTATGGAGCTGTAAATTCCTAGCTCGATACTCATTGCTCTTGGAATTTTGATCTGTCAGGGCATCTTTAACATATATTAGCTCAGTAAAGAATCCTTGGTCTTAATAGAACAACCTCTGATTTAATGATGCTGATATTAATGCTTATGATTTTTATGAAGGTTCTGTTGTAAATTAGAGTGGTCGAACACAGATACTTCTTTAAAAATGCTTCTTGTAAAGAACAAACAGGGCAATTTATGAAAACCCCATTACCAGAACATAGCTGTAACTTCCCTTTCTATCTTTATCCTGCTGTTTGAGTGCAACCTTAGTTGTATCCCAGCAGTGGAATGACACAAGCACACATGTTCAGCATGCTCAAAGATGACTGTGCTCAATAAGATCTTCAGATTCAGTTCCTTACAAGCATCCACCTGCCCGCACTGAATAAATCAGAGCAGAAATCCCTGCAGTTGGAGGGCCTTGGTCCTGTCAGCATGGATCCCATGGCAATGTGCTAAAAATAGTTTGGACTTGGGTACTGGCATTCTATTCCAGCACACATACAGCAGCAACAGCCCACAGAGTGCTTGATGCTCAGTGGCATTAAGCAGCGTGGCAAAATAATTCACTTAAAAAGGGCAAGTTCTTGTGTTTATAAACATACAAGAAGTGTCAAACTGCTGAATGGCTCTGGGCAGTTTCTTCTGCTCTTGGTGACAGGGCATATCTACATCTGTTCTGCTCCTGCTGTGGTTTGGCATGCACTGCCACGTGCCAGTTTTCCAGGCTGGGCTTCCGCACAGAAGAAATATTTAGAGTTATTTTGTTGCATAATTGATTGGGGATTTAGATGAGGGACCACAAAGTGTCCTTGCCTCATGAACAGGAGAGTTGCAGCTCATGAAAAGACAAAAAAGGCAAGTTGTTAATACCTCACACTGCCCAGGTGTGTCCTCCTGCCCCATTGTATATTGCTCCAGCAAACAGCTCATGCTGGGAGCACCCCTGGTGCTTGTGGGGAGGAGCTTGGCAAAGGACAGGAGGCAGTGCCGGTGAGGAGCAGCCTGTGCCTTTGGTGCTGGATTGTGGCCCAGAGCCAGGCAGGCACCTGACAAGGATTCGGTGTCTTCTCCAAACATGATCTGTCCTTTTGCCCCACTTCATCCCATGTGTTGGTAACTAGCAGCATCTGCCCATCTTCACTCCTCTCTGAGCATCAGTCACTTCAAACTCTTTCCAAGCCTAGTCTCCAGTAGAAACTCATGTACAAGTGAGGAAGACTTTAGTACTCTGGTCAGACACATCCACTGGAAAAGCTGTAATTTTGTTCCTTTCTTCGTGTCTATTTCTTCTGCATGATGTTCATTGTCTTTGCACCCACAAGTGTAGTCATGCCTTTATTTAATGTGGATTTTGCATCTCTGGGCTGTTTCAGAAGGACAGGCAGGACAGTTCCGGGAGTTTGGAAGCTGTCAGCGATACCATTCCGCAGCCGATGCCCTTCCCGCCCTCTGCTGTGCGACCAGGCTCTCCTAAACTGGACCCGTCTGAAGTCTACCTGAAGTCTAAGACAATTTATGAGGACAAACGTAAGTACATCATCTTCATCTTGAAAATACTGAATTATGAAGGAATTTTTTCTTTTGTCGCATGTGCAGTAAAACTACTGAGACTTTGTTGCTAAGTTTGTTAACCTGCTGTGGATAAAATGTTTCAAGTAATGCATCATTCAAACAGCAATCGGAAAAACAAAAAAGATAAAGTATGTTTCAACCGTATTTTCAGTAAAACAGTTAATTGCAGAAATAATGCCAGGGATGGTTGTGAAGTAAACTGCAGCAGACCTGCTTATAAAAGTAGTTTTGAATTGTGTTACAGAGTGGCTTTTTTCCTGGTCTGCTGCACAGATGTAGTTGAGATTCCTGCTTTGAAAATTAATGATACCATTTTGAAAAGAGAATATCACTGTATTTCTGGTTGCTGTGTTTTGTCACTAGAAGACTCAGAGTGTACCACCAAAGCATAATCCTTCAAGAATCCTTCAATAATCCAAGATAGCTCCTTACATGTTTTGAAATACTGTTTTGTTTTTTTTTCTTAGCTCCAAACACAAGAGATTTAGATGTTTTCCTGAGAAAACAAGAGTCAGGCTTTGGTTTCCGGGTGCTTGGTGGGGACGGACCAGATCAGCCTGTAAGTGAAACTGATCACAGTTATCTCACAGTATTGCTGTTGAAATGTTCCTACTCTGTCATCCCCATTTCAAATCATCCCATCCAGGCAGCTCAGTGATGGCAAAATTGATTGATTCATACCTGCCTTTCAGAGATCAGGAATTAGTCCTCATTACCTTTGTTTTTTCCCCTCTTCTTGGACTCCATTCTCCAAGGTTCTGCGCCCTTCCCGCTACCGAGCCCGTCCTTTGCCGCAATCTTCTGTCGGGCCGAGGACACTGGCGGTGTTTCTACAGCTGTTGCTGTGTTGCTGTGTCTCGGAGCCCTCAGAAGGGCCATGCTGGTCCCCAGCCTTTGCCCATTGTCACCTGATCCCAGTGGTGGTCAGTCATTGGTGAGATGTCCACAGCAGAGCATCCTGGAAAGCAGCTGAGTGGAAGGAAGTGATTGCTCCTTCTGTCAAAATTTCATTAGGCTGTTCCTTTCCTTGCAGCCCAGTGAAATGAGGTTTGAGATGGTGACACACCCTTTTTATTCCCTGCTTCTCCCGCTGGATTTTTAAGCATGCATTGTGTTGGAGGCAGCTGGGCAAATGCCAGAGCAGACACACCTGGATGGTCTGTTCTCCAAGGGCAGGTTTTAGGAGACTCCCCTGTATTTTCAAACATGCATAAATTTCTCTTTGGGAAGAAGCTCTAAGACTTGTACTATATATCAGGGACCTTTCTTTAAGCTGTTTAAGGGGAGAGAAAAAGCTTTTGGAATAGATCTGCATAGATTGTTTTCTCATTACAGTGAAGGAATTTGGTTTTTCCATTCCCAGCTGTGATCCAGTGCTAGCCTTTTTTTTTTTTCTTCCTCCCTCACTAACATGCATTTAAAGTAAAAAGCAAACACAGAGAATGTTACTTCTGTTGCACTTTATAGCATTTATGGTGTTTGGTTTCCATAACACCCATAGGAGGTGTGGAGCTGATGGATGAGCTGCCCGCCATTCTTAACCTCCAGCATACTAGCTGTGGTTACCCTTAATCTTCCATTTAATTGAAAATGATTGTAGCATGTGAAATTGAGTGTGGTTCTTCTCTGTATTATATTTAGTAGCACTTTTTGAGGTGGGGGGTAGGCAGAACTGTTGGTGTTTGAATTCATTATCTCATTACCAAAAGCTGAGACCTGAAGCAACTTGAAATGTGGAACTGTCCATAAGCAACTTTTCAGAAACAAACTTGAGTTGGTTCAAAAGCTTTTATTTCTTCCCCAGTCATTCTTCCTCAGTCTTGGTAAAAAAAATAAAAATTGAGTAGAATGAATGTCAGAGGCTTTTGTGTCATAAATGTCTAGGAAATCATATATATAATAAGTACATGGTGTGTGCTCATTTCAAAAATTTTGCTTTGTAATAAACTGGCAAACATGCTCAAGAGAGAAGAACTGACAAAAATATAGATTAAAGATTTAAAGTAGTTAGTGAATGCTTTGAGACTCCAGATTGTCTCCACTAGATCAGCTTGTGCAGAGTACACTTGCTGGCTGCATTTCTGCTAGAGCTGGACAGTGAGGTAATCTTTAAAAAAGTGTTCCCCAAAAGACCTCTTCTGCACTGATTCATGTGGATTCCAACCACTGTGTGTTCTGATGAACTCATGTTCCCTTTCAAACCCCTGGACTCTGCTCACAGATTTATATCGGAGCCATAATCCCGTTGGGAGCAGCGGAAAAGGACGGGAGGCTGCGTGCAGCGGATGAGCTGATGTGCATTGATGGAGTCCCTGTGAAAGGGAAGTCACACAAGCAAGTTCTGGATTTAATGACCAGTGCTGCACGAAACGGGCAGGTGCTGCTCACTGTCCGGAGGAAGATCTTCTTCAGTGGTAGGTGTCTGCTTGCCTAGAAAGAGCACTTAGGGCTTGTAGTCAAGTCCACTGAAGTTGCTCTGGAACTTAATTACTGCACTGGGGCTGAGCAGCCTGAGATAGAGGAGGGTAGGGTGAGCTATAAATGGAGAACTCTTAAATGGAGAAAAGCAGAATTTAATAGGCTTGGACTCTGTTGCTCGCTAGCTTGCACTGCTCACACAAGGCTCACACAAGGCTCTGAAAGTTATGATGCAGGGGTGGTTTCTTCAAACCTTTTTGCAAGTAGTAGTTAGAACAGCCATTAGTGCTATGGAAATTGCATAATAATGCAGTCTGTTTTCTCAACATCCCAGAATGGTTTGGGTTGGAAGGGACCTTAAAACTCATTTTTTCCCACACCCTGCCGTGGGCAGGGGCACCTTCTATATGCTGTATTCTCAAGTCTTTTAGCATTAGTGTGTAGGAAGATTAACTGTATTCAAACTAGAGCTGTTTCAGAGCAAGATCTTGAGATGCTGCAGTTTTAGATCAGTGTCCAGATCAACACTTTAGAGAACATTAGCCTGTGACTCCATGAATGACAAAGCTGGGGTGGGATTTATAGCTGACAAGGGCCCCCTGCTCTGATTAGTAACTGCTGTTGCCACCTCATGCTGGTACTGACAACTGAGCTTCATGGCTGTGCTGAAGTTGCTTTGTGTGATTTGTTCCTTATTTGTTGCTCGTCTGTTCCCTGCAAGGGGAAAAGCAGGCAGAGGAGGAGGAGCCGCAGCCTGTCCTGACACAGAACGGCTCTCCTCGGCTGAACCGTGTTAACTTTGCCAACCAACCGTGCCCGGAGGTCTACGACGTCCGTCTGCAGCGGAAGGAGAACGAAGGATTTGGCTTCGTCATCCTCACCTCCAAGACCAAACCTCCTCCTGGGGGTAAGTGCCATGTCCTGGTGGCTCTGCTTAACCTCGCTGGGGCTTCTCCATGGATCTCTTCCTGTGCAGTGCTGGTATTTCCCTCATAGTCAGCTTTCACTCACACTGGCACAGCCCAGCCATTTGAGTGTTGGTATGTCTTGTTCACCCAGCTGTGACATAAATGGGGAAAAGGGAATTTAAATCTCACACAACCCATACCCAAGTGTGTGCACTTGTCCCAGGGCAGCATTTGGGATGTAGATATTTGTCAGGCTCTAGTGATGTTGCATTAATTCATTGGCATTTTAATGGAAGCATAGTTTCAACCTTGGCTTTATATTACCTAATCAGGTAAAAATTCTTATTCTGGAGATCTGAGGAAGTAGAGTGTACAGTATTTGGTGGAAAACAATGAACTTGTTACTTACTGTCTTTGAGTGTGTTTGTCTAGAAGGATCATCAAAATGAAAAAGCAGTCTGGTCTGGTATTGCAGTTGTGAGATATTGATGCGGCTCAGGCATAGTTGTCTCTAGTTCTGCCTCTGTGCTCATCTCTGGGAAAAGGACTGAAATCGATCTTTTTGCCTTCTACTTCTCAGAACATTTCTTCTGTTCTCCAGTCTGTCTGTTCTGGCCCCAGAGCTTTGGTTTCTGGAGGAGTCTGTGCAGGGCATAATGTCCCTCTGGGGTGAACTGAGGGAACCAAGCCAGGAGAGCTGCAGGAAATTTGAGGCAATTATTACAAGTGCATATTCATCTCAGAGACCAGGAAAAGCGGTCACATCTATGCAAAGCTGATGTAGCACCTTGCTGGCCTTGCACAGGCTCCCTGCTCAGGTCCTCACCTGAGTGAATCAGTCCCCAGCAGGAGAATCAATCCCCAGCAGGAGAAGTTTGATATATTTTTAAAGTGTGTTAAGGGTTAATTTTTGTTTGCAAGTAGGAAGAGTTAGCACATGCATCTGAATGTCTGTGTTACAGTGGATGACCGTAAATCTCTCTGAGCCCACACTGTCTGTCAGGGTCGATGCATGAAATGGAAAACTACATTATATATGGTAAAACCAACTGTTCTGGTGCGCTCCAGGGACATACATTCTCACTCGTCCCTTTGCAAAATATGATCCATTTCCTTCCCGTGTTTTCCTTCAGGCACAGCACCCTGTACATGACAAGGCCATGCTGTGTGGTTGGCATCTCCATTCACTCACAGTGAAGCATTCCTTGTTATTTGCAGGTGTGTCCTGTACAAGCAATTTCACCCTTTGGAGCAGGAGAGGAGGGACAAACACTGATCTCTGCTCTGTGGTGACCAGTGACAGGACCAAGAGAACAGCTGGAGGTGTGCCAGAGGAGAGTTAGGTTGAATATTAGGAAGAGCTTCTTCACCCAGAGGGTGGTGGGGCACTGAACAGGCTCCTCAAGGAAGCAGTCACAGGTCCAAGGCTGCCAGAGCTAAAGCAGTGTTTGGACAGCACTCTTCAGGCACAAGGTGGGATTTGTTTGGATTTTGGGATGTCCTCTGCAGTGCCAGGAGTTGATGATCCTTGTACGTCCCTCCAACTCAGCATATTTTGTGATTCTGTGACTGGCAGTTCTCGATCTTTGTGATGCTCATCTGATGTGCACATGGTAGGATTCTTGAGGCTGCCCTGTGCAGGGCCGGGATTTGGATTTTCATCCTTGTGGATCCCTTCCTGCTCAGGATATTCCATAATTTTGTGAATACTTACAGTGTTGCTGTGCCTGTTCTTGTTTCTTAGTGATTCCTCACAAGATCGGGCGGATTATCGAGGGAAGCCCGGCTGACCAGTGTGGTAAGCTGAAAGTGGGTGATAGAATCTCAGCGGTAAACAGCCAGTCCATTGTGGAGCTCTCCCATGACAGCATTGTGCAACTCATCAAGGATGCAGGCAACGTGGTGACCCTCACAGTGGTGGCTGAGGAAGGTAAGGAAGGTGCCACCACACTGTCAAAGTTGGGTATTTATCACTGCTGAAGTTTATTGGCTTAAATGGAGCATTTGAAGATGTTTGGAAATTTAGGAGAGTAAATCTTACAATATCCTGAGTTGAGTGGGACCCGTGGGGATCGTCAACTCCTGGAAGTTGAGTAAGTTGGAAGCTCATGTGTTTGCTCTGGAAGAGCTAAAGGCAGGTGGGATAGAGAGAGGAGCTGCCACAATAAGGTGCTTGTACCCAATAAGGAGCTAAAATTAGTAACAGTGCAATGAAGAATGAGAGAAATTCTCATGTGTGAGAGACAGAAAATGCTGCTAACATAGAAACATCCTGTCCGGACCTTGTATTCTCCAGCCAAAGAGAAATGACCCCTCAGGGGGCTGCAGCAGCCACAGGATCATGCTTAGTGAGAAAATCTCTCCCCAGCTCAGGGGCCCACCTCCTGCTGCTGCAGGTCCTACCAGAGCTCTCTTCCCAATGCTGCCAGGATGCTCTGTCCCTGCTCTAAGGCCACAGGGACTCCTGCTTTTCAAATCTCTCCATTTAAACCATGAGTTTTTGCTTTCTCCCGTGTTAAAACCCACAAATTCCCTGATGCTGCATCCCTGCAGCAGAAACATGCTGCAGTTCTGTCTGCCAAAGCTCCTCTTTGGAAAAGGGTCACATCCTACCACACAGGGAAAAAGCCTTGACAGGGCTTTCCTGCCAGTCTTGCACCTGCAAAACCTGCTGTGTCACCTGAGCAGCAAAGCGAGTCCTAGGTACTGCAAAGTCCCATCTTTGGAGACTGTGACTTAATGACAGCTCCCATGTAACACTGCATGCACTGTGATATTGTTTCTAAACAAAAATATAAATATATAAAATCCAGTAATTTGGAGAGAAAAGCTGTTTTCCTGCCCTGCATTTTTCTTGAATGCTGCTTAATTAACTCCCTATCATTATTTTGTCCGAAAGTTGGCTTTCTTCACCTTTGAAATAAGAAATAGATATAGCCAGGCTGTGAATAAAGCCAGCAGATGATTCTCTAATTTCACGTTCATTGCAAATATTTAACATGCCATCTCAGCCTGTAACACAGAATTTCAAAGACTTAATGTTCCTTTTTGTTAATGCTTGAAGTAGAGACACCTCTATAAGTTGTTATTTTTCTATTAAGATTTTTATTTTTATCAAATCTGGTTCATTCCAGTTTGAAGGGACACACTTCAAAGCAGTTGCCATGGGTGATGTTTATAAAGCAACTGAAGTTTGAGTTGGTTGAATTAGATCTGTTTTCTCTGCAGCTTTTAGTCATCAAATACAGACTGATTTGGGTTGGAAGGACCTGAAAGCCCATGGGGCTGCCATGATCAGGACCACCTTCCACTTGTTTTCAGAATAAATTTTCTGAATATCATATTTCTGCCCATTATTTGTGTATGACCTTGCATGGACTTTGTGTAAAAACCTTTCCCACTGCCTCAATTACAGATTTGGAGCCAAAATACAGAGAGAAAAACACAACCTGGGGAGGCTCAACAAAGAGAGGAAAGAACCCCTCAGTAGCAGGTGGTAAAACCAGAGAAAAGATCAGTCAGAAAAAAATCTGTGGCTCAGAGGAGCGGGAGTTGGCATGTTTGAGATGTAAAGAATTTTGTGACAGTGAAGGCGAAAGAAGCAGAACCGGTTCCACTGGAGTGGGAATATATCTCCACTTTAAAATTCCCCTCAATGTAGCTGAAGAAATAAGAGTTTACTCACAGTAGAGCCCTGTGTAATGGGGGAATCCAGCATGGATGTGGGCGAGTCGAGGCTTCAGACACTCAGGGACAGAGCTGAGTCTCACAAGGATGGTTCACACCCAGGAAAATCCAGGATACAGCTCCAAAAACACAAAATGCCCTTTTTGCTGGAAGCTGTTGAGCAGCGCAAGGCAGAAACCCTGATAGAGTTTGCTGTTCCTTAGCTTTGTCCTCTGAGAGTGGCAACAAAACCTCTGCCTGGTCCCCTTCCCTGCCCCTAGGCTTTAACAGGCCTGTGATCTTTGCTTTTCATGGGATTAAATGAATTCCCTTCATGCGCCAGAAGAGATTCTTTAACATTTTTCACAAAAGCAGGAGCCTGTCAGCTTTTGTCATGTATTAGTTGGGAACACACGAGACGAGGCTGCAGAGAGGGCTGCAGGATTTGTACAAACAGATGGCATTTTTCTTGCCTATGCTTCTAAATTAAAAATCTGAGGGTAAACCAGGAGTAAAAGTTGACATTTTGTCTCTAGAGAAAAACCTCTTTAAGGCATGTCATGAGAACAGCATCAAGCAGATGTGTGGAAGGCTCGGGAGGTCTCACATACCTGAGAAATTCAGTGTAATATGCTTTAAATTTCTCTTCCCTTAACATTCTTGACCACTTTTTTGTATTTTAGTGGAATTTGTTTGTTCTTAATTAAGATATGCGGTGATGTGCTGCATCTAATGAGGCTGGAACATCTCTAGTTCTGGTGCTGGGAATTTTTGATTGCTTTCTAACCCTTTCAGGGAAAAGGAGTTAATAGTTTATATTTCAGCACAGAAGTCCATCTTGGGCCACTGCTTGCCATTCAGGTTCCAGCTAAGAGGCAGCTTTTTGCATAGGCTGTGGTTCTTTATTCTTAAGCGAGAGTGTCATTTTTGTATCCTGAAACACGGGGCTTTTTCCAGAAATGCACTGGATGTTTGTAAAGTGCACACTAACAGTATTTTCCCTGGAGGGAAAAATAATAGGAAGTTATTTTAAATGGTTTTATCAAAACCTTTTTTTTCTTACTTAGCTTTTGGGAGAAGGCAAAACACATTAACATTCCTCTTGATTGCCTGCCAGTGAACTCCTTCTCCCAAGAGACCAGTTCCTTACCTGGAGCTGGGCAATGGAAAACTGTTGTGCCTTAAATGAGTTGGCAATTTCCCTTTATTTGATGGGGCCTTCACCTCTAAATCCCCATTTCTCCTGCAGATCTTCATTCCCTTACCTTAAAGAGGGGTATTTCTCAAATGGACATTGTTCTTCATCTCTTAAAAAATCTTATGGTAATGATTATCTCAACCAATTTCATGGATCTGATCAGCCCTGATCCCCTCTGGCATTTATCAAGTTGCAAACAGGCTAAAACCCTTCTGTTCATGCCAGGATCCATACAATTGTGTTGGTATTTCCAGAGGAAAAGCAGAGTAAAAGAATAAAAATAAAGACTAGAATTCCTAAGAATTAATTCCATGGAACTGATGAGCTGTACTTGTGTTCCTGGCTTGGAAAATCTTCTCTCTGTTGTGCCCACATGAGCTTGGCTCAAGGTGTTGTGGCTGCAATTCCTTGGGAGCAGTAGCCCCCAGCACTGGTGGTGACCATTGTCTGGCTGCAGATTTTTAAAGTTGTGACTGTTGATTTTGTTTGGATTCTAGAGCAACGTGGTCCTCCATCAGGAACAAACTCGGCCAGGCAGAGCCCAGCCCCACAGCACCGACCACTGGGATTGGCACCGATCAACCCTGACAGGTTGGGAAAAAGGGTCTGGGAATGGTGGGAAAAGCATGGCCAGAGGGATTAATGTGAAGGCAACATCCACGTCCTTTCACCTTTCCGTAGGGGAGCTACAGAAGGTGAAGCTGGAAAAGAAGTTTCTAATAGTTACCGGCTGTCCTGGCCTGAGCACAAGCACATGGCACAGTTGGATGCTGCTTCAGGTGTTGGCAGCCGTCATTCCCAGGTACAAGAATCCATCTAGAGGGTGTGGAGACACGGGGAATACTCATCCATCAAGGCACTCTAGTGGCATTATTACAGAGTTCTCAAAAGCAGAATGTTAAAACATTTCCCTGTCGGATACAGGTAGAACAGTTGTGTATAAAAACATACTGAAGTGTCTCACAGAATGTTTTTGCTCATGTTTCAAATGTGATTATCTCCTATGGGTTGTTGAACATTCATTATAGCTATGAAAGAAACGCAAAATGCTTGTAATGGAATGACTATAGACCCTTTGGCAAAGTTTCCTCAAGAATTTTGTGCCTATCTCAGACTAAGAAGGAAAGATATTCTGAATGTTTGGACTTGGGTTAAAACTGAGTCACCGCCAAGTTGGAATGAATGCTGTTTAAGTGCTCAAAATATAGAAATATTGTGATATTTTTCTAGAAAAACAGAAGGTTAAATCTGCCTACAGGTCCTCATGTCTCTTTTTTTTTTTTTTTTTTTTTCCCTGTGACTTCCTGCACAGAATGCTGGCTGTTTCCCAGTGGAGTTGGAAAGGGGCCCTCGAGGGTTTGGATTCAGCCTCCGAGGAGGAAAGGAGTACAACATGGGCTTATTCATCCTCCGTCTGGCTGAGGATGGGCCGGCAGTCAAGGATGGGAGAGTCCACGTAGGTTTGGCTTCTCTAACCAATTTGTTGATGCAGTTGATACATTAATTTACCCAGAGCGGCAACAAACTTGGATTTTCACAAGCACAGGGTCCCAGAACAGCATCTTGAGCCTTTGCCCTTCTTCCATGAACAACTCTGGCCGTCCCAAAGGAATTGTCTGCTTTGCTGGTAGCATCCCTGGGTGTGAGTAGCAGGTACTCACGGGTATTTTAGGAGCCCCAACAAGAGATTGCACAGTGCACCAGAGAGCTGGGAGGAGAATCACTGTCCAAGTCAGTTAATTTTTGAGGAATGTTTGTGTGTACATTGTGCTGCGGCTGTTCTATGCCATTTCTGGAGATACAATCCTGATTTTTTTCCCCCAAATATTATGTTAATTCTTGCCTTTGTGTAAGGAATACACTCTCAAATATTGTAGTAAAAGCAAAGTACATGGATACAACAGAAGGAACAATGGTAAGCGAGACTCTGTATTTGCTGCCCAGGGCTGGATTTTCAGAGACTGGAGCATCAAGGTGAGCCAGGTGCCCATGAAATGCCATCCCTTGCAGTCCTTGTGCTTCCCTGTTGCTGGCATGTGGCTCTGCCTCTCTTTGTCCTCTATTTGCAGAATAGGGCTGGCACAGATACTTGCTGTGAGGCTTAAATGGATGTGGAATTCTTAGTATTCTTAACTTCTCCTGTTCTTCACAGTAATTGGTATTTTCCCCCATTTGCTTGAGAGACAGCACAAGTTTAGCATTCAGTGCTAATATTTTTTCTCCTAGTCCTTCAAGTGGTGTTACATTGAGCTCCAGGGCTTTGCTTATTGGGCAACCAAAAAAATTGTTCAGCCCAGAGAAGAAGAGCCAGAGGTCAGACCTCACTGGGGTCTGCAGCTTCCTCCTGAGGGGCAGGACCAGTGTCAGGCCCTGAGGGAGTGGCTGGAACTGTGTCAGGGGAGAATTATGTTAGATACTGGGAAAAGGTTCTTCCCTCTGAGAGTGGTCTGGCAGTGGAACAGGCTACCCAGGGAATGGTCACAGCCCCAAGGCTGCCAGAGTTCAAAGAGTGCTGGACAATGCTTTCAGGCACAGCATGGGATTGTCTGGGCGTCTTGTGCAGAGTCACGTCTTTGATCTTCCCATCCTTGACACTAAGCTCCTCCCAGTGCTGGCATGTGCCAAGTCACCAGCCCAGCCCAGAGCACGGATGGGCTGAGCTCGCCCAGCCTGAGGTTATTCACATTTTTAATTTCTTGTCATCTGGATGTGGTGTCTCTTTCTGGTTGTACTTCAACGGTGTGAGGAGGAACTTCTCATCCAGCTGCCTGAGCTGTCCCGGTGTGTCTCAGACCCAGCCTGTCCACGAAGAGCCGGCAGTGACCTCCTTTTGCAGAGTGACTTCAACAAAGCCCAGGAAGCCTCTTTAAGCTGCTAATGTTACACACCAGTGACATCTGTTGGCTGCTATGTGCAGTGCTAGATAGGCTCCCGCTCCCTTTTTTTCCCCATTTCCCTTCTCGGTTTTGCCTAATAGAGAACTATTTTTGGGGTATGCTATTCCAGCAGCTTCCAGCCCCTTTCCAGCAGCCAGGGAAGTTAGCGCTGGCAGGAAATTACCTGCCTGGTACCTGTGAGAATTGTTTACTGGCTCTGAGACCTCACCACTGATCTGACGAACAGAAAATAACAATTCCTTTCCCTACATCAAATCCGTTTGTGTGGTGTTCAGCTTGGCAGTGGGTATAGGGAAGGTGCTGTGTCCTCCCCTGGATAAGGTGACCTCAGACGAGTGTGATGTGGTTGATCCATATGCTACCTCCACAGCATGATCCAGGATCAATGAAAATGTATTCAAGCACATCCTATATCTGCCTCATCACTTGTAAATAAATAGAAGATGTGGTTAAGATCTCTGAGATCTTTTCCTGAGCAGACAACCTCTGTGCACCTCTGAACCCCCAGATCCTAGGGTAACATCCTGCTTGTAATCCATGGAATGGTGTCACTAACGCCCACTGGATTTTAGCACGAGAAGGAAAACAGAAGCATCTGCCTCTGTTACTTTTTCTTTCTCAATTAAAAACCAGGTCACAGTGTCAGAGATTCCCAAAAACTAATCTGCTGCTCTTGTTTCATCAGGTTGGTGACCAAATTGTGGAAATTAATGGAGAGCCTACCCAAGGAATCACTCACACACGAGCCATTGAGCTGATTCAGGCTGGAGGAAATAAAGTTTTGCTGCTGCTGAGACCAGGGACTGGATTGATACCAGATCACAGTATGTTGTCTTAAGGGCTTTTTGGTGTTGAGGGTGCAAGGCAGGGAAGTAAAGTGGGATAAGGAGATTCTGCTGCTTGTTCACTGCAGTAGTTGGCAGTTGCCTTTGTGACAGCTGTGCATTTATTATTGAATTAAATTCAAAATTAAAATATAAAAATTGAAAAATAAAATATCTATTTTCAAATACAAGGACTATTTGGGGTAAAATTAACACATGACGGTACGTAGGAGTATTGCACGATCTGAAATTATTCCATATTTCTAATTAGTTTCTCAGCTCTGTCCAAGCTAATCAAATTTTTCTATAAAAATATAATGATTAACCCCGATTGCCTTTTAATTTAAATGAAAATTCTCTGTGCTACAGTATTGTTAAAAGTTTGTTTCTGTACGTATTTACTTCTGGTTTTAGCCTTCTAAATTATGAAATGCCTTGTTTTTCAAAGCCAAAACTTCAGGAAGCAGGAAAGGGATAACTTTACTCTCCAAAGGCATTCAGTTTGATTCAAGGTGATTTCTGTGTCTACAAAAGGAAACCACAGCTTTGTAGGCCAAAAAAAAAAACCAACCCAAAAAACCCAGGAAGGACAGCAGAGCAAATGTTTGAAGGAGCCGCAGAGTTCAGAATTGGTGACTTTGTGTCTGACGCAGTCCCAAGACTGCAAATCAGAGACTCGTGGCAGTGGCAGCAGCAGCATTTTAAAGCAAAGAACATATAACTTCCTTAGTCTTTGTAAGCCCTGATGCTGACACCAAGGTGCTGATGGCTAAACTTCCTAAATTGTAGGGTCACTTTTTCTGATAAGGAGTTTTTCAGTCACAGTGACCAACCCCAAGCTTATCCTTTCAAAATCCCAAACACACAGTTTGAGCTACCAAATACTTTGTGTGTTCAGTCACTGGCATGACTTACTGGCTTCACTCAAAGGGTAAAATCTGCTCAGAACCGTCTCAATTGCTTTCCTCCCGAGAGCTAGAAAAGGATCCTGAGCATCACTACTGGCCCTGCCGGTCACAGAAATTCCCTGAACTTGAGGGAGAAACAGAATCAGACAAAAGGGAACCTCTCGAGCATGTCCAGGCCAGCCCTCTGTCTAGAGTGGGGCCTGGGATAGGTGAAGGAAATGGTGGAGTGGGGAAGGGTTTATGGCCTCTTGCCTTGCTGTTAATCCCACATTTCTGATTGAAGTCTTGCTTGCTGTACTCTGTGATTTTTTTTTTGGTATGTACTTCTGGGCTTTTTCTCTTCCTCCTTCAGGTTTGGCTCCTTCCAGTCTGTGTCCCTACGTGAAACCTGAGCAACATTAAGGGCTTTCAGTGCTTTTCTTGGTTTTTCCTTAAAGACTTGGTAAATCTGCATGTCTTGTTTCATCTCTTCCTATTTTTAAAGTGCAAAGCTATGAATAACCCCAACTTTTCACTGTTTCAGATTTCTTTAGGCATAACAGCTCTAGTTTGTTAGGTTTTATTAAATAGTGTAGGTCAGGGACTTCTTAATTTGAAATTTTGCTTTGTAGGCTCTAAAATTGTTTTGATTCAAGACCGTGTCAGTCCTGCAGGGATCCGGCATTCTGAGCACTAGATATTTTTATCTAAAATCACATCCTCACGGTTGTTGTAGAACAACACAATACAGAAAGCTGGCTAATAAAGCTTTAAAAGTATGCTACTCCATAATGTTTTTTGAATTGAACTCAGTAGTTTGCCAATTATTACTTTTTGTGTGTTTAACCAAATCTCTTGCCATTTGCTTCCAGGTGATTGGGATAGCTACAATCCTGCTTCATCAAATGTAATATATGAAGAACAGTCACCATTATTATCTTCATCTTCCCATTCTGCTTTCCCATCTGAAGTGTGTTATTTAGCAGTACCAGGAGAAGCTTCAACCGGAGTTCAGCTGTCTGAGGAACTGGAGCAAGAGAACACTGTGCCTGACAAGATAAGCACTTTAACTGAAAACCTGTGTGAGAGGAAGCCTCAGTCTTCTCCCCAGAGAACAAAGAACAGATGGGAATGTCCCTCAAGTCCTGGGTTTGGAATCACTAAAGGTAGTTCAGAAGCAAGGACCAGAAGGGGCAGATCTGCCAGTCCAGCAAAGTCAGGGGCTGCTGAAGGATACCCTCACATGGGATTCCACAGCCCCAGGAAAGGGGATCCTGAGAAAAACAATCTCTCATGTAAATCTGACAGTTCCAGGAGTGAGAGTAAAATCACAGGAAAAGGGATGAAGAATAGTGACAAAAAGGAGTCTTCCCATGGAAATCGAGGAAGGTCAGCAAGTCCCCAAAGGCATCATGGCAAGCCAGGAAGCACAGAAACAGTGGGAAGGATCCAAACATCCTGTTCTGTTGAGCAGTTAAAAGGTGGGAACGGTAAACCAGAAGTCACCAGTAAAGAAATAAAGCAGAAGACCCCAGGAAAGACAGAAGGGTGTTCTGCAGACCAACATTACCCATTGTTTAGTGGGAATAACCTTCTCTTTAGGGACTCCAGGAGAAATGCCTCTGAGGATGATTTATTAACCAAGTCCAGCTCTGGAGACACAAGTTCCAGCAGATTCAAAACCTCCAGCCTTTCCAATATCCCACTGCTTTCCATGGAGAAACAAAAGAGGGTGGAAACACAGGAAGCTCTTATGCTGAACAGACACCATGGAGAAAGACACATGGAGAGACACAATGAAACCAAAGATGGAACTTCCCAACCTGAGAAGAATTCTCCAGTAAGGAAAATACTGATAACTCCTGGGCCGTGGAGGGTCCCCAGTGGCTGTAAGGGCACCCCAGCAGCAGGGGTGCCTGGAAAACGGGTGTGACAGACTGAGAGACGCTGGTTTTTTTTTTTGAGAACAAACATGTTTTGATCAATTTTCCAGTAAGGGTAATTTAAAGCATTGGTTTTTCTCACACAGTTGTCTTTTTTTTTTTTTTTTTTTTATTCCTCAGAAACTGGTTGTGGGGGGGAAGTATTTGATTTGTTCTTAAATTATCTAAACTCCATGAAGGATTTTCAGATTGCTTCAGTGAAACCCTTCCTGAGCTGCTGTCCCCATGTCCCTTTGCAGGCCATGTCTGCTGCTCCCAGTGTTGCACTGCTGCAGCTTCCCTGAGTATTGTGAACTCTGAACAAAGTTATTTAATGCCGCTGTTGCCAATGTGATCCTGACTCACTTCCTGTTGTTGTGCCAAGCTATCTACTGAATCCAGTCAATCTAACCCTTCCCACATGGATTCCAGTCAGAGACAAGGCAGGTTTAGGTGTTTTCTCTAGAGCAGGTTGCATGTTTACATCAGGAAACCCACGTGTTCTTGCTGGGTCAGGGAGAACACAGGCGAGTTGGTTCTGTCAGTTCCAGGACAGCAAATTAGCTGCTGATGCTGCTCAGTTCATATGTTTCCTGGAATTTTTATACCTAATACAAAACCCTGGTATATGTATTTGACACAATTTTGTAATTTTGCTTTTTCTGACACAGCAGAATCACTTTAGTTCCTTGATTCACAGGGATTTGGGTTGCAAACATCCATGAGAGGAAAGAAGATTCTGAGTTCTGTTAAATAACACAGTTCCTTTGGTTTCACTTGTGGCACCATGACACCCTCAGCCTCAGTGTGGAGTTCATACTGAAGTCCCATCTTTAATTATTTAATGCTAGTTAGGAATTGGGTTTTTTTCCCCTCTGTAGAGGTAAGAACCGACCTTAGGACAGACTCAGCTACCAGAGCAGCTTTTTCAGTGAAGTTCTTGCCTGTATATTTTAGAACTCTCCCCTATTTACTATGGATGTGTGATCAAGGAGCATTGGTGACAAACAGGGTACAGGAGACATCCCATCTATGGTTTGGGCTGGCAGAGATGTTTTAAAGAGGGATGTTACCACCAGAACCTACTGTCACATCAGTCCTACAGCTGTAAGAACAATAGAAATGGAAGGGGTTTATTTTATTCACAGTTTTAGTGATTATTTCCTGACATCTGAGATTTTTAATGACTGGAGAAAAGTGGTGAAAGAAGGCCCTTTGCTGGAGAAAGAAGAGTAAATCACTGAGCTTTACTTACTTAAAATACAAACATAATTTGCTCTTTGCAAGTGAATATCTCATTTTGGCTTTGAAACATTAAATGTTTTTGAAGGCTAACAAAGCACAGTGAGGCAGTTCTGAGTGGAATTCTTCACGAGTACAGCTGAGTGCTCAAACAGCTTTTAAACAAAGACTTTGGGAATGCAAAAGGCTTTAAAGCAGCTCTGAACTGTGCTCACCTGCTTGACACCAGGGTTGCTATGTAGCATAACACGTACAAATACTCCCTAGGTGGAATATGACTGTGAAAATTTAATACTTTGAAGTAGCCTGTGTAGAAAATGCCCTGTGTTCTTCCCCAGAGGTTGGCTGATGTTGAGCTGTGTGCACTTGGCCTGACCGCTGAGTATAGTGAAAAATCCAGTCCTTTAATTCCAGATGAATTAGCCCCACTGAAATTATTTCCCTGCCATCAACTGTATTTTTCTATATGTTCATGTCACCTGATAACGTCTTACCTGTGTGTGATTTCTCCTTCCATAGACCTTGTATCTGTACTTCCTGTATCGGACTTAGCCATGTGGCCTTGGAATGCTACGCAATGTATGGATGTACTGGGTGTAAATGTTTATATATTGTACAGCACCTTTATACAGACTTCTGAGGTTCTGACTAGAGAGAGACCTGTAAATCGCTCATTATTTTTTATATAGATATTAAAAACAAATTCCAGTTCATGGCCTGTTGATTCTGCACTGTCTAAACCAGGTTCTTGCTTGGCTTTCAGGGGTGTCATGCAGGTTTTACCCACAAACATGCTACTCATCTGGAAAATGAATGCAGTTTCTCACTGGAAGTCCTTGATCCCCTGTTCAAAAAACAAATGTTCAGCAAAGACGGTATCAAAACCATTAAGTCCTGTCAAAACAGTACAGTCATGAAGTACTTGTCCTATAGGTTTATTTGTACATTTTGCTATATAAAATTGTCGTCTCCTTTTATATCTCACAACTTTTCCTTGTATAGAAAATAGCTGTAAACAATTTAGTACTAGCTGCAGCTCTTGTATGGCTTTAGTGCTTGATGTCCCGCACCAGTTCCTACTGGTTTCAGTGCTAGCTGCCAGGATTCAGCCCCATTAATCCAGTTTTTCTGTGCATGGCATGGGATGACTTGATGAGGCCAGCACATTCTGGATATTGTAGAACAATAAAGCAGAAGGAAAACTGATATGTACACTGAGAATCTGTTTAAAAACTGAATGCCAGTTCCTGAATTCAGTTTGCAGGAGGCGTTTGGCGCTGCCACAGCAACCAGAGTTTTACTTCGCTGCAGCTTTGGTCTGGGAGATACGGAGTTGCCCCCTCCTAACCCTTACCTCCTCCCCTCAGCCCTCTTCTGTCATGTCCTCTTCTCAGCCCCTCACCCCTACTTGAACTTCCAGCCTGCCCCTGCCCCATCCCTCTCTCTGCCCTTCACCACTCCCCAGCTCGCCCTGCCCCATCCCTCTCTCCCCCCACCACCAGGCTTTTACTATAGTTCTAAGATCTCATTTTCTTTTAATATAATAGAGATCATAAAATAATAAATCAGCCTTCTGAAAGGTGGAGTCAAGACACTCATCTCTTCCCCGTGTCCTGGGGACCCTTGAACACCACCACAATCACCGGCTTGAGCTGGTCTGGGAAGCACCAAATAAAATAAAATACAAAGCATTAAAAAGATAAAAATAAAAACTAAAAAAAAATAGCTTAAAATTTAACACTAAATTTAATTAAAAATAAATGAAAAACAAAATAAAAACTGTAAAGTGCTGTAAAGTGCCGTAAACGTTCCATAAAAGGTAGTCCCGTAATTCAAGACCCTCAAACACCACCACAATCACCAGCTTGAGTGGGTCTGGGCAACACCAAATAAAATAAAAAGCTTTAAAAATAATAAAATTAAAAAATAAAATAAAATAAAATAAAAGTTTTAAAAATAGAAAAATTAAAAATAAAAATTAAAATGAAAAAAATAAAAGCTTTAAAAATAGAAAAATTAAAAATTAAATAAGAAATAAAATTTAAAAAATAAAAAGCTTTAAAAATAGAAAAATTAAAAATAAAAATTAAATAAAAATAATATAAAAAATAAAATTAAAAGCTTTAAAAAAAATTAAAAATAAAAAAAATTTAAAAAATAAAAAGCTTTAAAAATAGAAAAATTAAAAATTAAATAAGAAATAAAATTTAAAAAATAAAATAAAAAGCTTTAAAAATAGAAAAATTAAAAATAAAAATTAAATAAAAATAAAATAAAAAATAAAATTAAAAGCTTTAAAAAAACCAATTAAAAATAAAAAAAATTTAAAAAATAAAAAGCTTTAAAAATAGAAAAATTAAAAATAAAAATTTACTAAAAAAAAAATTAGAAAAATAAAATAAAAAGCTTTAAAAAACCAATTGAAAATAAAAATTAAATAAAAAATTAGAAAAATAAAAACTATAAAAATAGAAAAATTAAAAATAAAAATAAAATAAAAAATAAAATAATTTTAAAAATAAAATAAAAATAAAATAAAAACTGTAACTGTTCCATAAAAGGTAGTGCTGTAAAGCGCGACTGTCGTAAAAGGTGTCGTAAAGCGCGACTGTCGTAAAAGGTGCCGTAAAGCAGAACTGTCGTAAAAGGTGCCGTAAAGCGCGACTGTCGTAAGAGGTGCCGTAAAGCGCGACTGTCGTAAAAGGTGCCGTAAAGCAGAACTGTCGTAAAAGGTGCCGTAAAGCGCGACTGTCGTAAAAGGTGCCGTAAAGCAGAACTG